GGGGGGGGGTGGGTGGCGGTTGGGGGACGGGTCTGTCTGGGGGGACAGCTGGGGACCCAAGGGAGAAGCCCTGTCCCCCCGGCAGCGCGCTCCCCGCACCTCTGCGTTACTGTTCCAGGGTGACCAGGGCCTGCTGGGCCCCCGAGGCGAAGACGGCCCCGAGGGGCTGAAGGGGCAGACGGGTCCCATGGGGGAACCGGGTGCTCCTGGCCCTGCAGGCGAGAAGGTGAGGGGAGCCCTGTGTCCCTGTGTCCCCGTCCCCGCGTCCCTCGTAGCCCGCGGCTCAACTCTGCTCTCTCCCTTGCAGGGCAAGCTGGGAGTGCCAGGTCTCCCGGGCTATCCTGGGCGCCAGGGCCCCAAGGTGAGTGCAGGGGAGCCTTTGGGGTGTCCCCGGGACCCCAGGTGCCTTGTTGGCCCTGGGTTATCACTTATCCTCTCTCTTCTTAGGGCTCCGCTGGCTTCCAGGGTCCCGTGGGGCTGGCAGGAGAGAAAGGCAAGAGGGTGAGTCAGCCCTGTCTCGCTGTGTCACCCTGTCCCATCCCTCTGGGCCGTTCCCTGTCCCCTACATCCTGCTCTGCCACCCCCTCTGTGAGCCAGAGAGGGGCTGGGCTGAGCTCAAAGCCGGGGAAGGGACCCAGCTCCGTGGCCTGCTAAGTTCCCATGCTACATGCCCTCTTGCAAATGCGCTTGGGCACGCTCTGTCCCCTCGGGGGGGAATGTGGGGGGAGTGTGGGCGAGTGGGGGGCTGCCCCATGCACTGCTCTCCCCACCACCTCCTCTTTCCCCGCAGGGCAAGGCTGGCCAGGCTGGGCAGACGGGACAGCGAGGGCCCCCGGTGAGTAACCACAGCCCCGGCCCCAAGCTGGGGGTGACAGGAATCACCCCATGTGCCGTGGCCGGTGACTACCACAGGCCCAGCTGTATCCCACCGTGACCACCCTGGGGTCCAGCTGCATCCCACCGCAACCATTCCCAGGTGGATTGTATCCCACAGCAACCATCCTAGGGCCGGCTGTAACCCATGGCAACAGAGCTTGGGGTCTGCCGTATCCCACGGCAACACGCTCCGCAGCCTGCCGGTATCCCATGGCAATTAGGCTGGAGCCAGTCGTTTCCCACAGCAACCAGACCCTGGGGACCACTGTAGCCCACGGCAACCAGATCCCAAACTTCTGTCTGTATCCCATGGGAATCACCCTGGGGCCAGCCGTGTCCCTCCCGGCTCCCTGCCCCACTCCCATCCCTGTCCCTCAGCTCCCCACTCCACTCCCAGCCCCGCTCCCTGCCCTGTACCCCCCACTTCCAGCCCTGTCTCCCTACTCCTCACCCCACTTCCAGCCCCACTCCCTGCCCCACATCTTCTCACCCCACTTCCAGCCCCAGTCCCTGCCCCATACCTTCTCAACCCGCTCTTTGCCTCCTGCCTGCACAGGGCCTTCCAGGGGAGCGAGGTCTGCCCGGTCCCACGGGGAAACCCGGTCCGAAGGTAGGTGGGAGCCTGGCCACGGGGTCCCCGCTGTCCCCCACGTCCCCGTCTCTCTGCTGTGCTCAGGGCTCCTTGGCTGTGGGTGCTGGCAGTGGGTCTGACACACAGCGGTGGGGAGGGTGGGGGTCTTCGCTGCTGCCCTCAGCCTGTTTCTGTCTCCTCAGGGAGACCCTGGCCATGACGGGGCCCCTGGCGTGGTGGGAGAGAAGGTAAGTGGGGGATGGTCGAGGCACAGAGGAGAGGTGTCACCCTGCAAAGGCACCCTGGGAAGGGACCAAGCATGGGGAAAACAGGGTGCCAGGCATGGGGAGAGGGTCTGGGCGCTGCAGGGCCGTGGGGAAAGCCCCTCTGCTGCTGACCGTGGGTTTTCTCTCCCTCCCACAGGGTCCCCAAGGTCCGCAGGGATCCAATGGCTTCCCGGGCACGAAAGGTCCCCCCGTAAGTGGTGATGTCTGCACGTGGTCCTGCCTGTGCTTGAGATGGTGTGGGACACAGAGTCGGGCTGGCACATCCTCCTCCGCCTGCTACGCCCTGTGGGGTGCAGGCAGCAGAGGGGGGAGCCCAGCCACGCAGCCTGTATCCCTCACCCCGTTACCTCTGCTCCTGCCCAGGGTCCCGCCGGGAAGGACGGCTTGCCAGGACACCCGGGACAGCGTGGCGAGCCGGTGGGTCCTCTGCCTCCCTTGCCTTGGCGGGGGTCACCTGGCAATACCTGGCATTAACCCCTCTCTCCTCTGCAGGGGTTTCATGGCAAAACCGGCCCTCCTGGCCCCACAGGGGTGGTGGGACCCCAGGTGAGTGCTGGGGATGGAGGCAGGAGGTGTTTGTGTTGAAGCGAGCCTGGTGGGATGGAGGGACCCCCAGATGCTCACCCTGCTCTCTCCCCACAGGGTAAATCAGGCGAGACGGGACCTGTGGGCGAGAGGGGGCACCCAGGCCCCCCTGGCCCCCCGGGGGAACAGGGCCTGCCCGGAGCTGCTGGCCGAGAAGGAGCCAAGGTAGGAGCCGTGCCGGGGGTCCGACCGCTCACCCGGACCTCCACAAGCCTGAGCCAAGCGGGGCTGGGTCCCCTCTGAGCTCTGCAAGGCATGAGGGCTCTCCCTGGCTTGGTGGGGACGGAGCAAAGCTCTCTGCTGCTGCTCTCCACTTTGCAGGGTGACCCTGGCCCCACTGGCATCCCCGGTAAGAGCGGCCCCCCAGGCATTCACGGCTTTCCTGGCACACGGGGGGCACCCGGAGAGACGGTCAGTGCTGTCCCAGGCTTGGACGCAGCCTGTTACGGTCCTAGGGAAAGGGGAGTAGGGTCCTTTCTAACCATCTTCCCTGCCCTCCTACAGGGTCCACCTGGCTTGAAGGGTGGGGAAGGTCCCCCTGGTCCCCCTGGACCCACGGTGAGTACAAAGCATTGTGACATTTGAGGAGTTATCCAGAGTTTTGGGGTTTCCCTTGGAATATATATACTCCTTGGGGAGCAATTTTGCCACCCTGCTTAAAATCCTAGTTGATAAAGAGAAAGGTTTCTTTGGAGAGGAGGAAGACTGCCAGGGCCTTCTTCCCTCCACCCCACCTCTCTCTTCTCCCCAGGGATCCCCCGGAGAGCGAGGCCCCACGGGGGCTGCTGGAGGCATTGGACTGCCGGGCCGGGGGGGTGCACAGGGCCCCCCCGGTCCCATCGGCGAGAAGGGCTCCCCGGTAGGTGCGAGAGGGTGTGTGGGGTGAGGGAGGAGGTGTGGGGCAGTGCTGGGACGAGCTGTGTCTCCCGTGGGTCCCGACCAGCCCTGCTTTCAGCCCTTCCCCTTCCTGCCTGCAGGGCGAGCGGGGTCCCATGGGTCCGGCCGGGCATGACGGGATCCAGGGTCCCGTGGGGCTACCGGGTCCGGGCGGACCCACCGGCCCCGCCGGAGAAGACGGGGACAAGGTAAGTCGGGGGGACGCAAGTCAGCACCTCCAGCAATGGCTCCTTCATACTTCGCTACCGACAGTACAGGGAACGTACCCCGGGACGGGCGCTGGGGACAAGTCCCCTGGCAGAGGGCACGTCCCAGGGTTGGAGGACCTCTGGGATGGGACAGGTTTCCCTGTGGCTTCCCGGGAGCGGGGATTCCCCAGGCGGCAGCGGGCTGTTGGTCCTGGCAGGCTTCCTTGGCACTGCTTCCCAGGTGGTGGCAGGTTTCCCCGGTGCTGGGATTTCCTTGGCCGTGGCTCCCCAGCCATGGCAGCTTTCCCTGGCTGCCAGCACTCCCTCTTCGACGTCTCTCGCTGGCCGCGGGCTCTCACCGTCTTCTCTTTGCGGCAGGGCGAGATGGGGCTTCCCGGACAGAAGGGCAGCAAAGGCGACAAGGGCGAGGTGGTGAGTGCCGAGGGGCTGCTCTGCCTGGGAGGGTGGGGTTCTCCGAGGGGCAGAGCAGCTCCAGGAGCAGGGGGAGGCAGGAGCAGCGAGGCAGGAGATGTTTGGGGGCTGCCCTAACCTTATGGGGGTGCTCCTGTCCCATAGGGTCCCCCGGGACCGACAGGAATCCAGGGACCCATCGGGCACCCCGGCCCCGCGGTGAGTAGCTGCCGAGCACCCTTCCCACCCTGTTTATTCCCTCGACTGAACCCCACCTCCCCTCTTGGCTCCCCTCCCTGCCCTTCCACCCCACACATTGGGGTTTCTGTGGGGCAGGCAGCGCTCACCCCAACCTCTCCCTTTGCAGGGAGCGGACGGAGAGCCGGGGCGCCGCGGGCAGCAGGGGATGTTTGGACAGAAAGGAGATGAGGGATCGCGGGGTCACCTTGGCCTAAGCGGCCCCCCTGGCCTGCAGGTAAGGAGCGGAGGGGCGTGGGCTTGGGTCTGCCAGGACAGGAGGGACGAGGGACATGACGACTCTGGGCTCCGCGCAGCCTGCCTGAGCCAGGGCACCCTCTGCCTTGCCTGTGGAGCTTCCAGACCCCCCAGGCTAACCCATGCTCCCCGCAGGGCATGCCGGGCCCACCGGGCGAGAAGGGCGAGAACGGAGACGTTGGCCCCATGGTAAGGAAACCCCGCGGCCATCCCGTTCTGCGTGCCCACCGCTCCCCCTCCGCCTCCTTCTGCCCCGTCTCCAGCTTCCCACATCTCCCTCTGCTGTGGGAGCTGCATGGCTCAGCTGCCCTTTGCAGTCTGACCCCTCTCTGTACTCCCCACAGGGCCCCCCCGGTGCGCCGGGACCCCGTGGGCCACAGGGACCCAGCGGTGCTGAGGTGAGTATGGCCCTGGGGGGGCTCGGCGGGGGCTGCTGGATGCAGGGGCTGCCCCCCACGTTGGGTACCCCCCCTTCTCTTGCCTTTAGGGCCCCCAGGGAATGCCGGGCGGTGTGGGACAGCCGGGTGCCGTGGGAGAAAAGGTAAGCCCGTGTTCGGGAGGGCGGTGCGGGTCTCAGTCTGGGTGCTGGGGCTGGGCAGAGCTGCCCGCACCACCCAGCACCCGGCAGCATCTGCCCTGTTGCTTTTCTCTCGCCCAGGGCGAGCCGGGCGAAGCGGGAAATCCCGGAGCCCCGGGGGAGCCCGGACCACCCGTGAGTATCACAGGGGGGAAGGGGGTGTCTTTTAGGGGACAAGGCAAGGAGAGTAGGGCCCAGATCCTGCTCTCACTGGCCACAGAAGGCACAGGCAGAGCTCCTGGGGAACATTTCACTGCCCCAACTGCCCCTTCCCTGCTCTGACGTGACCCCCCCGTCCCTCTGCAGGGTGTGAAAGGAGATGTGGGGGAGAAGGGAGACGCGGGGCAGTCAGGAGCAGCTGGACCCGCTGGCAAGAAGGGCCCACCGGGAGAGGATGGAGCCAAAGGCAACCTGGTAAGGGGAGGAGTGAGCACGGAGAGGCAGGGGGACACTGCCCCGAGCCCCCACATCCCCCCCCGATAGCCCGGCAGGCTCTAAACCCTTTCCCTGCCTCTGCTTTCCCAGCACACAGAAGGTCTGGGGCTCCCTCCCACTCCTACGCTCGTGTCCCATTCTCTCTGCAGGGTCCCATCGGCTTCCCTGGTGATCCCGGCCCCCCCGGAGACCCCGGCGTGCCGGTGAGTAGCCCCTGCTCACTAGAGGGGCCACAGAGCAGAAGCAACCTCACTCCTGGGGGCTTCCCCAGGGCTGGAGCCAGCCCCCATGTCCCCCCACGGTGCTCCGGTGTCACCTGCTACTGTCACCCTGGGGTGGTGATGGGGTTGGGAGGTTCCAGGACACCGCGGTTCTCTCCCCACTCCGCCTCGCCGGTGCTTCCCGGTGTCCCGACAGCCCAGGGGTGGTCTTTTTGGGGGGGGGGTGTGTCGACTGGGTGAGTGCTCACCCTCCCCTGTGTCACAGGGTCTGGACGGAGCTGCTGGAGAGAAGGGTGACAGCGGGGACCCCGGTTTGCCGGTGAGTGCGGCAGCTGGGGGTATCGTGGCTGCAGGAGGGGGGTTGCGTTCCCAGTGGGACCACCCTGGGCTGGGGGGCTCGAGGGGCTGTAGCTGAGCCGTGTTGCTTCCCGGGGCTCTTACGCATCCTTCGCCCTCCACGCTTCCCCCAGTCCTGGCTGTGGGACTCTCCCCTCACCCCAAACTCCCACTGGGTTCGTTTCAGGGTCCGCCAGGCGCATCAGGGGAGCCGGGTCCCCCGGGTCCCCCTGGACGGAGGGTGAGTAGGGGAAGGGCAAGGGTGAGATGGGGAGGGACAGCATGGGGTGAAGTGGGACTGCGAGAGGGGCTGGCCCCGGCCAGCGCGCAGCTCCCGGTGTCTGTTTCCTCGTCCAGGGGCCCGTGGGACCGATGGGGCGTGAGGGCCGTCAGGGCGAGAAAGGTGCCAAGGTGAGCGGTGACCGGTACGCCCCAAACCCACACCCCTCGATAAGGAGAGGCTCGCGCTTCCACCAGCCTGGGGCAGGACCAGACCCGCCCAGAGAGGTGGGTCCCGAGGGGTGCCAGCCTCAGCTCTGTCTGTCCTCTTGTCCCCAGGGACAGCCTGGCGCCTGGCCCTGAGGGGCCATCCGGGAAGACGGGCCCCGTGGGGGCACAGGGGCCACCCGGACGGCCGGGCTCCGAAGGACTGCGTGGGATCCCCGGTCCTGCCGTGAGTCGGGGGCTGCGGGGAGGATGTTCCCGTGCCGATGCAGGGCTGCCCGTGTCCTCAAAGCCCCGGCCGGCTGCAGCTGGGGGACGTCCCCTCGGGCATGAGGTCCTGAGGGGACGCAGCTTGGAGGGGTGTTTTGTGGGGGCTCGGCCTCGGGACCCTCTCCCACACCGAGTCTCTTCCAGGGTGAACAAGGTCTGCTGGGGGCTCCAGGACAAGCGGGACCACCCGGTCCCCTGGTAGGTCAGGGTGAGCGAGCCCTGGGCACGGGTGATCTGAGCTGGGCACGGTCCAGGGTGAGTGACACCCTCTTGGCCTCTTGCAGGGTCCCGTGGGATTGCCTGGCCTCAAGGGAGACCCCGGCCACAAGGGAGATAAGGTGAGACGAGGTGACGGTTGTGCAGGAGCTGGGATCCCTCACCCCGGACTCATCCCCGAGCCCCCCTGGTCCTGGGGAGGGGGCTGCCTGACGCTGCCCTTCGCCCCCAGGGCCACGCTGGACTGATTGGGCTCATTGGACCGCCAGGAGAGATGGGGGAGAAAGGAGACCAGGGGCTCCCGGGCATCCAGGGCCCCCCGGGACCCAAAGGAGACCCTGTGAGTATTTGGTGTCTCCCCTGAGCTCAGGGGCTGGGTGAACGTGGGGGGAGACAAAGTACAGGAGCTGATGGGGCGCAGCCCCCTCGAGCACGGGGCCGATGCTGTCTCTACCCACAGGGTCTGGCTGGACCCACTGGCCCCACAGGGCCCCCCGGCCCCCCCGGGCTCTCGGTGAGTATCTGCCTGCGCTGTGTGGGTTCACCAAGGGTCTCCTGCCCTTAACTCCCCCGCAGACCCCTGGGGGCTTCGTCCATGGGAGGGTGAGAGGGGCAGGGGGGAGCCCGAGTCCCAGGGAGGGGTCAGGGGTAGCTGCCATGGGATCGCTGCGTGCCCGGCCAGTGCCCCTCTTCTCTCTTCTCTTCCTCGCAGGGACCCTTGGGGCAGAAGGGCTCCAAAGGCTCACCGGTGAGTGCTGGGGAGGGATGGGGACGGCAGGGCAGCTTCTAATGTGCTCCCAGGGGAGAAAGTGGGGCCCGTCGCGGGGAGCAAGTGCCACGGTGCTGAGTCTTCTTGTTTTGCAGGGTGCTCTGGGTCCCCGAGGTGATACAGGGCCCCCCGGTCCTCCGGGACCACCGGTGAGTAAGGGATGCTCTGGACAGACACCACTTCACGTCTGTCCCTTCCCGGGAGGGCTCCGACGTCCCCAGACCCCCCTCATCCTGCCGCCTGGCCCCTGCATCTGTTGCTCTCACTCCTTCATCCTTCTCTGTCCCAGGGCCGCCCAGCTGAGCTGCTTGCCCTCGAGCCGGAGCAGGAGGCACCGGCGGGCAACCGAAGGGGCTCCGGGAGAGCAAGGAGCCCCCCGGGATTATGAGGGGCTGGAGGAGGTGTACGCGTCACTCAGCTCCCTGCGCATCGAGGTGGAGCAGCTGAGACGGCCCCTGGGCACCCCCGAGAGCCCCGCGCGGGTCTGCAGGGAGCTGCAGCTTTGCCACCCGCACCTCCAGGACGGTGAGGTTTTGGGGGGCCAGGTTGAGGGGGGACGGGACACGGACTTTACATCATGCCGCACAGTGCCCGCGTGACGTGTCCCTGCCAAGGCTCGGCCAGAGCCAGCAGGGAGCCGGATCTTCTATCCGTCTGTCTGTCCTTCCTGCCCTCCTTCCCAGGCGAGTACTGGATTGACCCCAACCAGGGCTGCTCCCGAGACGCCTTCCGGGTTTTCTGTAACTCCACAGCCGGCGGCGAGACCTGTCTCTTCCCCGATAAGAAATTTGAGGCTGTGAGTTCGAGCGGGGGCAGAGAAGGATCTAGGTGTCCGAAAACGCCCCCCACCCAGCCCTCCCAGCGCCGGGAAACTGGGGGGGCACGATGGGGGGCAGTTTGGGGTTCGCTTTTCCCCATATTCTGTGGGGCCAGGGGTTGGAGAGGCTTTGCCCCCCGACACTGTCTCTGTCACCCCCCAGGTCCGACTGGCCGCCTGGAACAGGGAGAAGCCGGGGACGTGGTACAGCACCTTCAAAAGGGGCAAGAAGGTGGGAGCGTGGGAGCTCCTGGTGCTCCGGCCTGGGGTCGGGGGGGGGAAGG